TTCCACGCTACTAGCCATGCCACTTTACTTCTCCATTTCCCCAACCCACTCATTCTTTCTTCTCTTTTTTATATTTTGTTCTCTCCCACAATTCTTTTTTTATGTTGTTGAAGCAGAGACCAACATAGGCTTCTGGGGTTGGGTCAATTAGAGTGGATGATACTACCTAGTGTTTAGATTGAGTCATGGCATGAGAACGAGTGGATATCGATAAGTTCGTAGGTGTAGAGGCGGCGGTGTCACTATAAGTTTATGTCTATACAATGCAACGTTGACGTAGAAGGGTGTGAAAATGTCTTTGTTTATGCGAATCTAAAGAGTAGGGTTTTTCTATACACTTTTTTTGTCTTGGCCTAATTTTTTCTTCTGATTTGGTATGACTTACAGTCATTTGTTTCTCTCAGTGTCTTTGTTCACTTTCATGTTAGATTTTTAGCGTTTAAATAGGGATAACACCAACGATAGCTTCATGTACTCAATTTTTATCTTATCTGTTTATTACTCTCTTAAAATTTGATCTCTATGATTTTTCCCTTCAATTTTTGTAAGATTTTGGAGTACACACACACGCTATCACTCCTCCAGGTTATTAAAACGACCTCACAGTGAATATGGTAATCAACTGATCAACTTTTGGTTTGTATTGCAATTTGTATTTTATTTTTTAAATATGAAGTGTGTGAAAATAGGAGAAACTATGAAAATGGTGTTAGTTATGAGCGATTGCTCGATTTTAAATTTTAAATTGAATTTTACAAGTGGCATCAATCTTTACTAGAAGTTGCTTCATCCTTTCCAAGTGTAATATGTATACATTTGAATTATTATTTTTTTCTATGAAAAATTGAGTACATAACCAATTATTTTAATGCTTTAGGTTGTCACGCTCTCTTGATTAGCTATTAATATATTGCTATCAAAATTTTCATGTTGAGATCTTTTTAAGGTAACATCTTTTGTTCTAAACTAAGTCCCTCAACCATTTTTTTGGGTCCGAACAAAGATTACAATCTTTTATTTGAGAAGGACACCCCCCTCGGGACTTAATTTACTGATTGTATGCATCTATTTTACATTTTATAAGTTCAATTATGAATACTTAAAAGTTATAATCAAGGAAGCACTAAGATACTCCTCTGGATAGGATTTTCATTTATGGAACTTAGACATACTCGAATATATATTGCATGGAAACATAATCGATATTTCTGTCATTTTCTAATCTTGGAACTAGGGGGACTTCTTGGAATCATGTCAACAGACCTTAAATACATACTTAATTATGGTTTTCAGGACACTCTTGGGGTATCCAAATGTTATTTTGGTAATGGAAACCTATTTTAATCATCATTCCTTCAACCACGGTATACTTATCGCTATTATTGAAAGCATATGGCTATTATGATGTTGTATTCTAGGGACTTACTGTTATTATTGAAAGCCTATGGCTATTATGGTGTTGTATTCTAGGTTAATACCTGATCCCAAACTGGCTCTCTATATCCCCATTTTTCATTTTGTGTCATTGAACTTGATACTTTATTATTTTAAATGCATCTAGAGCCCTTGCAGGTTTTCTAGAATTTTATTGTATCTCGTTCTCCTTTACAAATTTGCTTTTCCATCTCCGTGTCTTTATGGGGATCCCTTTTCCCTTTAAGACATCTATGATAAATCTAACTTGATAATTCTTTTTTTTTTTTTACACCATGTATCACTATAATGCCTCTAATTTTAGTTAAAGAAAAAGTTTGTTAGTTTATTAGTCAGATATCCCCTCTTAACTTGTTGAGGTGTAGTGTAGTAACTACAAAATTTTTGCACATTTTCTTCATTGATTTGTATAGAAAATGCTTTTCCACAAGGGCATACTTGGAAGTGGGGTCACAATAAGTCCTGGAAGATTAATTTAATTGTAGTAGTGTCTTCATAGGCTAAACGGTTGCATAATTAAAGTAAAATTAAAAGACCATTTAAGTTTTTAAATGACAGAGTTTGAAATTCCACACGTCACATTACTTCTCATGGTCTTTGTATCTTCCTACTGTTGACACATAAAAATTCAGTCCAAATCGAACGGCCCAAGGAGTGAAGCCCAATTGGAGGATTCCCAAATCAGATAGCCCAAAAAACGAAGCCCAATCAAATAAATCAAGATGAAGGCCCAAACAGGAAGGCCCAAGAACGCGGTAACGCCATCGCCCAAGTTTGCAAGTCGCCCATAATTTGAGCGAATGGAGTGTCATACAGTCGCCCAGAGCTGTTACTCTATTCTCGCCCAAACCTTCAAGTCGTCCAAGGTCTTAACAAACATAAAGCGTCGTGGTTATCAAGAAGTGTAGTTATCAAAGCAGTTATTAAAGCAACCCTATCACGTTCCACAATTCAAGGAATTCAATCGAAAGCGGTTGAACGATGAAAAGTAATGGCAGCAGTTAAAAAAGGCAGTTTTCATGACAAGTTGGCCATTACGAGGAAAGTGGGCAGTTATAGGACGATCAAGCAGTTTTTAGGGCGGTTGATCACAAAGAGATCGTCCATGAAGTATAGAAGGGAGAAAAGACATAGAAGCAAAGGACCGAATCAAAAACCCTCGAACAGAGAACATATAATTTTAATTTCCTTAACTTAGACTTAAACACTTTTCTTTTAGTAACTCGTGTGCTTGCGCCCCTTGGAGGCACATTGTTTTTAATTTCCAATTGTAAAGTCATCGCCAATAAAAGAACACCCCTTTTTGGGACTTTATCTTAAGAGGTTTTCCCTTACACAATCGTCTGATCCTTTTTAATTGTTAGCGACTAACTCGCGCGAAACACCTACAAAGAAATTTTTGAATCCAGATGAAAGAACTAATGAATTATCCGCTGGAAATAATTTGGAAATTGCTGAACCCTACCAAATCAAACAGTCATCGAGAATAGATGAAAGATATGGTTTAGTTTTGTCCTGTTTCATTGAATTAAGTCTTATTTTTATATCAATAGCCTTGCTTTACAGCTGCACTATTGGAGGTATTATCTTAGATATTGTTGAAACTTGCACTCTGGTTGAAGAGAGCTAAATTTTCTAGCACTTTCAGTTTTTATGAAGCTTATGTTTTCCTGATATCTTAGATATGTTTCATGGTATTATACAGTATGCATAGCTTTTTCATTTTTATTGGAGAGGCAATTATGTTTCGTTTCAAAGAATTGATCCTTGTACATATCAGGATTTTCAGAGAGTAATTTTATATTAGAAGAATGCCTCCAGCGTCGATGGCTCATAGCTCGGCTTATCTTACGAGTCTCACTCAAGAAATTGAGAAGAAGTTTCAACGTGTATTTAATTGCACTTTGATTATGTATTTCTGCAGTATATATACAAATTGATAAGTTTTAGTTATTGATTTTTGTGTTGAAATCATGGTGTAGGGCATTAGCTTCGTTACCACAAATGCACAATTTGTTGCAGGACTTATTCGCGGATATAGATCTGAAAGTTGATGATAAAGGTAGATCAATAATAATTTATTTATTCGTTAATTTTGTTCAATGCATGAATTTGTTAGTAATAATAGTTGAGGCAAAAAATGAATGAGAATGGAATTTTCTTAGCGAAATAGTAAATACTATTAATTATTCGAGTAATTTGTATGGACAGTTCTTTCTGAGTTGTAGTGCTTGTGAAGGAGCTCTATTTGTAGTAAATTGATTATGTTGCTTTTCGGGATGTACTTGTTCAGTTGCTATGTGCTTTAAGAACACATAGGCAGGATCATTTATTTGTTCTCTTTTTATACTTAAAGAGGTCTTTCAAAAAGGATCTAATTTTCATTTCCACAATTTAATATGGATATTCCATTAATAGATTATGGACTTGTCTCCTATTGATTTAGTCCCCTTCTTACATCAATTTCACCAAGGTTCCATTTCAAAAGGTATTTTTATCATCTCGATTTTTTTTTCATGAAACTGCATCTACCACATTGGAGGAAGCTCATGGAAATGAAAATGGCTAAGCCTCCGCTACTGCTACTGCTACTACTACTTTCCTAGTGGGTAGAAAATGCACCACTCGGGTGCTGCTGTATGGTTTCTGTTACGTGTTGACACACTTGGCCGACCCATTGGGGCCATAGCTTACTTCTTCCAAACCACGTGGCAACTTATCCGAGGCTCCCAGACCAGACGTGGCCCAAGTGCTAACGCTGAAACTAATATGCCGAGGTGATCTTGTAGCCGAGGCCCTTCCCTCCGAGGCCTAATCTTCTCCGAGGTCCCGAGGCTCTAAGCAGCACTCCTTCTCAGAGATCCAGTCTTACACAAGAATCCTTCCTGATTGATTGATGGGACACCCATCATAGAGTGCAAATGTCTTGTCTTGTCAATGTAGTGGCAGAGTCGTCAATTAATAAATGTGCAGTAGACTAGGAAGTTAAATGTGATACTTATAATTTGACATGTAAACTTACGAGATGAGGTCATGTGTACTCCCAATTAAGGGCCACGATCTAAATTGTAATACTATAAATACTCACCCATGCATCTCTCGCTAGAATAATGCAAGATTCAACACAAGAATAAATACAACATTCTTTACATTTTACTCTCTTGCAATATACATGAATTCATACTCGCATTCTACAAAGATGGATTGATAATTATTGTACAATCGTTATGCAAACATCTCGCCGGATTCTGAACGTTCTCTTCTCGCACCTTTGAATCGTTCCCACACCCCCTTTTGCTATTATTTCTAGACTATTCATGTGTTTTAGCGTGTTGGACTAGATTTACTTGTGCGCGGGTAGGTCCAATATCTGTTGACAACACATTCTGGAGTCAACAGTTTCTGTGAATTATTCTTACACTATTTTAAATACAAAAATGGGGAAAATGAAAATTTCCTCTAATTCCGTTTATCTCGTTAAGGGACCACTTTAACCCGACCCGGATTCCGAGTCGTTCCGTGCTTAAATAACACGGTCCGCGCCCCTGATAACAGATTGGGTTTGTCGCACACGCCCAACCTATCGCCGTAGTCCCTATCAAAACCTTAACCCCATCCTCACCTCTAATTTCCTTCTCTACACCCTCTCTCTTACCTCTGAGAGGAGAAAGGAAAAAATCCGAAAAAGGAAGAAAGATTTCCATTTCACTCTATCGATTTCTCTATGAAAATCTAACCCTGAATTTTAATCCAAAAAATTCTGAAAACTTCGGCACCTATAATGTCTCACGCAGTGTTCCAAACAGCGCAAATAATGCCCGTGGCCCCTATCACCAAAACCTTATCGTCTAAACCCCTGTTACCAGCCGGCCTTCACTGGTCACCGGTTGCTCCGCCTATCGCTGGTAAGCTCCGCAAGTCTTCTGTCACCACAAAGGCCTCCTATGCGGTAGTTGACGGTGACGTCATTGCTGGCCTCGAGCGGTGCTTTCAGGCTTCTCCTGCCGCTGATTTTCCATCGGCTTCGCCTTTGGGTTACGTGGACTTCGGGCCCGTTATGAAGGGTGGCCAGTACGGTGCGTTTGGTGCGGTAACTTTGGAAAAATCGAAGCTTGATTTGACGCAAAAGCAAACGAAGTCTAGTCCTGAGGTATTTTACGTGCATATATTGATAATGTTGGTGATTAAAAATTGAAGAGTATATGTCCATTCTGTTTTGAAGCAATTGAAATATGCATGTAAGAAATTTCTGGATTCATATATAGTACAGGAATTATTTTTCTATTGCAGAAATGGATAAAGGCTGAGTTTTTTTTTTTTTTTTTAGTTTGTGCTAGCTCGGCTACAAATTTAGTTTAAAAGGTGAAGTGAACTGTTAATTTGAGTAGTAATGCGTGCCGTTATACCTGCATGATCTGGATAAGGAAAACATCGGAAGGCAGATTGTTCGTTTTGTTTTGGTTGTCTGAAGGTACTTGATGCTGTTTTGTGAATTAACACAAAGGAACAACTTTACAATTTTATTTGCTTAATGGGCAAATGAGTTCTAAAACTTCTTCCCCCGAAGTGCATCTTCCTTTTGACTCTATTGTTTCCACCTTAATCTTTTCTAGCTAGATAATGTGGCATGCCCTTTATAATTGATATTGTTTAGAACTTCGGAATTTTTCTGTATTTATTTAGTTCTGTTTTGTTTGGATTTGAGTTTTGCTTCATGGAAAATAAGGTGGTAGGATAGGTGTTTGGGGCCAGGGATTGAAGCCTTAGCTTGAAGTAGGAAAATTTGTAATTTTCTTTGTTTCTACTGTACTTTTCTTATTTCCAGCTCTTGATAGTCTTTTAGTCCCTAATCCCTGGTAAAAACCAAATTTTAACTCGAGGTTTTGTCTGAGGTAGCCAATGACTTTTGAAGCTGTTCTTTACTGACGATCTTATCATCTTAACATGAAAGTTTTTCCCCTTGTCCTCTATCTTTCCCAACACAACTCGACGTCTCCATTTCCTCAGGGTAGTAAAATGATAATGCACTTAAAATTCACGGAGCACTAGAGCGTCAATTGTTGCTTTGAGGATGCTATGTTTTATATTGAGTATTAACCATTGATGCACCCGTATCCTTTCGGATTATGATATTCAAAACTGGAAATATCTCAGATTTCAAGTCTTAGAAATAATAATTTGAGTACCAAATATGATCATGACAAATTTCCAGCTTTCTTTCATTTGCTTCAAATTGGCTGTATGAAGTAGCCTCTGGTGGTATGCACTTGTGTACTAGTCTGAGAAAACCATAATAATACTGTACAATAACTGGAGTATCTATAGAAGGTCTAGAGATTTGACCAGACTTGTATGATAACTAAGCATATTCCCACATTTCTCTGTCAACTCGTTTGAAATTTATTACCTTTTCCTTTAGGATAGGGGATTTTAATTTGACAACTCTTTTGATTAGTTATTTTTATTTTGATGTGGCAATATGACAGCTTTCTACGGGGGGAGGAGGTGGTAATATGGGCAAGGGGCTTAGTCATGGTGGTGGTGATGGGGGTGATGATGGCGGCGATGATGATGATTACTTTGATGACTTTGACGAGGGCGATGAGGGAGATGAGGGTGGACTGTTTAGACGGCGTATTGCTCTGCCAGAGGTAACAATTTGATGCAAGAGCCAAGAGATAGACAAACACTTATATTGCATGCTTATATATTGTGTAATTTATTCCAATTATTTTATCTAATATATTTTAAAATTAGTAACTCTTTATGTTCTTTGCCAGTTGTTTGATCGGAAATTTATTGATGCTGTATTGAATGAGTGGCAAAAGACGATGATGGATTTGCCTCCTGGATTACGTCAAGCTTATGAAATGGTAATGTCTTACCTTTTTCTGTGCATTCTTCAGCGGAAGTACTTGATGATTTGGACTCTGATATGCAATTGCCTCAGGGTTTGGTCAGTTCAGCTCAAATGGTGAGATTTCTGGCAATCAATGCCAGACCTACCGCTGAGAGGTTCATTTCCCGGGCTCTTCCCCAAGGAATATCTAGGGCTTTCATTGGCAGGTAAATTTGGAGCCTCCATATACTGAATTGTAGACGCGAGTATTTAAATCCCGTTACCTTCCTTCCTCTCCCTCAGTGTAGATCAGTTAGTTTTGATTTTACAACAAATTGGGTTCAGATTAGTACCATTACGGTTGATTGTGGATGATGTTTATAGGTACTAATAGATCAGTGTATGGAGGCTGAAGTTTGTGATGGGACTTGTATGGGAAGAAATATACATATGACGTACTTCACCTTTTGTATGAATGCACAATTACACGTTGCACGTTTAGAGAACAATAATAATTTTTATGTTAAGATGTAAATATGTTTCTGAAATTAGAATGCTTAAGATGGAGATCCAGCTTGTATGATTTTCACTATTTTACCCCAGCAGGTGCATATGATGTCCTGAGCATAGGAGAATGATTTTGAAATATAGCCTTGTTTGGGAAGAATTTATAAATGGTATAATTTCTAAAAAGGTAAAAATGAGTGCTGGATAAGTAGAAAATAATTGTGGGTCTATTGGATTGTCGGTTGAAAATGAAGTTTGAGTATCTATAAATGATTTATAAATTTTGCCAAATGAAGGCATAATCATTTGTACAACTAAGTTGTTGTAGAAACAGTTTACTTTGGTTGTGTTTTTCACTGGGGTAGCGGTTCTAGATTTATTTTCCAAGATGGTGTGGAGGAAAACTTGGGGCGACGATAGCAACTTTGGCTTATATGATAACACGTCCAGTCCATAAAAATTCCACTGGATGAAGAAGATGGTAGGATACCAACTGTAGGAAAATGTGGATCAGCAAGAACAATGAAAAACAGCAACTTATTGATGGAATTCTGTGGAATTACAGTAATACAAGGCAACAATTATAGCCTTTCGAGAGGGCTATTCTCTCCTGACTTTACTACCAATTTTTGCCTCCTCTATTCCTATATTCTACCCTTATTTATAGATCTACTTCTAACAGAATTCAGTTTTCCCTCCCCCCATCTGTCGGCTAATTCTTCTATTTCCTTCTAGAATAGGTGAGGTGGGTTGGAGCCTATCATTACCCCCGGTTTCCAAATCCACCTTGTCCTCAAGGTGGCAATCAAGGAAGTGTTGGTGGTCCCAATTGCCTGCTCTTCCATCATCACGATTCTTGTAGGGAAGAGTTCCGTCTCTTTTGAAGCCCACAAATCTGGACATATAGCTAGCATCGTGTATTTGTGTCCACTTTGATGGTCTTGGGCTGCCTTACCCACTTGATTTTTATCTTCAATTAGTTGGGCCATCTTCATTATAAAGCCCAACTCAATAGGCTGTAATAGACAGATTTCAGTCCAGGTTTCTGATTTTAACCCATAGGTGATTGTACGATCCAGAATCTCCTCCTGAATATTGAGTAAAGGTGCTGCAAAAGCCTCAAAGTTCAGTCGAAATTCCTCTACAGTTCTTGTCCGTTTGATGCACAGGAATTTCTCGCACAAACTACCTTCTTCATCTTCTTGGAATGCCCATACCTGGCGTGCCTTATTTCCACACCCATGACTTGGGCTGTAGTTTTTATTACAGCAGTAACACAATCCCCAGGCCATTTTTTCCTGCAGCTCGACTTTGGTCAAGTTATGAAACGGAGGCCCCCCTTTCGTCGCGACCAGAGGATGAAGAATTGTCGCTCGTCGGGTTTGAACACTTTTCGACTGTGTTACGTTGGAATGATTTGTGTAATTTGGATGAGTGTTGGGTGTGTTTTGATATGGGTAAAATGGTGGGCTGTTGTAGGGTAATGGGCTTAGAGAGTTTTTATTTCTGCTTGGGCCATACTTCAGTTGGGTCATACTCATGAAATTATTCCTATCCTCTACACATTGGGCCAGCTTAATGATGTGGCCCCATCCCAGAGTTTTAAGCCTACAAACCCCAGCCCGTGTCATTGTCTTCAACCTGTTGATGCAATTGCTTTCCAGCAGCTCAATAGGGATCATCGACAGTGGAGTTTCCCCATTCTTCCACCTGCTGTCTTCCCGGTGATCCCAATCTAGAGCCTCCCTCTTGAAACAAACTGCAGGGACCTCGATCTTCTCCCAATTCGAAAACTGAGTCAAGTTAAATTTCCTTTCTACTCGAGAAAACCAGCCATCGGGATTGACGCCGTCGGAAATAGGTATTTCCAGCCGTTTGTCTCTTTCCTCCACCCTCCATGATTCATCACAGCCGTTACCATCTTCGGTATCATCAGATTTGTTTGAAATTTCAGAATTGGAAGTGTATTCATTGCTGCCTTCCACCAGTTGGGCAAATTCCAAAACCAAGCTTACTTGTTTGTTCATATGAATTCCCACTCCGTAGCAAGTACTGAGAACATCAGCATCCTCTACTTGATTCAAAGCACATAGCTCACCAATTGCTTGAGACCACTGTGGTTTTGGAATAGGAAGTTTTTCACGTAGCTCAATTAGTGCGGTACTGAAGATGAGCCCTACTACCGCAATACTGTGATGCTTGCTTGTATTCTTTTCCCTCCACCGGTGGTACCATCGTTTTCCAGATTGCCGGAGATTGGTGTGACTAGGGCTTGGAGTAATCTGATGGGTTTTATGGGTGTAAATGGTTTTTGGGCTGTTTATCCTTACTTCATATAGACCCATTTTGTCTTGGGCTTGATTAAGTGAAATTTTGCAATTGCCTCATTGGTCCAACTTCCTGTCATAGTCTAATTCCACCAAATGGTCCAAATCTATGGATTCTCCTTCGTTGTTGTTCTCCTGCTTCAACAATTTCATAGAGGCTTCGTCCAAAACCTGCTCCGATCTCTTCTCCTCCTCCGACGGTAGTAATGGTAAGATTTCAGTTGACCTCCAGTCTTCGATGGTCTTCTCAGGTCTATCCGGGCGCCCTCTATTCACCCCGATTTCGTAAGATCAATGTTGATATGCGTGGATTGTTTCCGGCGAAGTAGTGATTGTTTCCGGCGAAGTAGTGGCTTGTCCCTTCTCCTTCCTTTCCGATTCCTCCACGAATTTCTTTTCCTCCTCCGGTGATGACTGTTCTTCCTCTGGGCTTCCATTCTCGGTCTCCCAGTTCAACTCATCCCCTTGCTTCCAGGCTGACAATTCACCACTAACGGAGATCTGCTCCTCGTGGAATCGAGCCAACATCAACGCCTTCAATTCTTCCCAGGTTTGTATCGTACAGCAATCGTCTATCTCTTGAAACCATGCCCAAGCCTCTCCAAGGAAGCAAGCGACTGCGGCTTCTACCTTCTCTCTCCCCGGTAAGTTTCGATTCATGTTTATGCATCGCTCTGCTTCAAACAGCCACGAATCTAAATTGTCCCCGTAGAATATCCGTGTATTGAGTCGGCCACAGGAATCCAACCCTGTATCAACCGCTCCATATCCGTTCTGTCGCATTACCATCTTCTCCAACATGCTCCTTATCAAGCTCAGATTCTCTTGTAATTCTCTGTGGAAAATAGCTTCAATTAGTTCGAGAATCGACCGCTCTGATACCAATTTGGTAGGATACCAACTGTACGAAAATGTGGATCAGCAAGAACAATGAAAAACAGCAACTTATTGATGGAATTCTGTGGAATTACAGTAATACAAGGCAACAATTATAGCCTTTCGAGAGGGCTATTCTCTCCTGACTTTACTACCAATTTTTGCCTCCTCTATTCCTATATTCTACCCTTATTTATAGATCTACTTCTAACAGAATTCAGTTTTCCCTCCCCCCATCTGTCGGCTAATTCTTCTGTTTCCTTCTAGAATAGGTGAGGTGGGTTGGAGCCTATCAGAAGATGACTACATTTACTTGATAGAATGTTTGGTTATTTCTCCTGTTATCAGAAGCTATGATTCTACTTCCTGTAGCTTTAAAAAGTTTATTCTTTACAATTTCCTCTTTGTTTTGGACATGGTATCACCAAAAAGAAGATAATAATCGCAAATTGGATTTAGTTGAGTGGGTATGCAGTCACTTGTTTCCATAATGGACCTGATGTTGACCCAAAATTCTGATACTTCATCATAGTTTGTTGTAGCTGGGTATGTTTAGGGACATACCATGCGGTTCTTCAACTCGTTTAAACCTGTATGCTGTACAGCATTGTTGTAATGTTGCAACATTTTATTCTGGTTTTCTTTCTACAGATTATATAGTAGTTTAGATCTAGAATGTTTGAAGCACAGTCGTCTTTCTGAAACATTACCAAATATTTATCTGAATCTTCCTTGTCTGCACAGGATGATTGCAGATCCTGCCTTTTTATACAGGCTGCTTCTTGAGCAGGCAACTACTATTGGTTGCTCTGTTTGGTGGGAGATCCAAAATCGCAAAGACAGGTCTCACTTTATGGTTTCTATGAGGAAGAAATTAAATCAAAAGTGTGTTTATTTGCCCTAACCACTTGATAAACACGTCATGTCAATGCAGGATAAAGCAGGAATGGGATCTTGCGCTTATCAACGTGCTTACAGTGACAGCTTGCAATGCCATGGTTGTTTGGTCCCTTGCTCCTTGTCGTTCATATGGAAATACATTCCGTTTTGATCTGCAGAACACACTGCAAAAACTCCCAAATAATATCTTCGAGAAGAGCTATCCACTTAGAGAATTTGACTTCCAGAAGAGACTTCATTCTTTTTTCTACAAAGCTGCAGAGTTGTGTATGGTGGGATTCACTGCCGGAGCTGCACAGGGTGCTGTGTCCAACCTTGTTGCCCATAAAAAGGAGGGAAGGTAAAATTTGTTTGGCAAATGGTACATGTAATATTCTTGCCATCACATCGACGGCATGCTAAGGAGTTTCCTTAGTAGGAAAAGGCGCTTTCTTAGCATTTTACCATGTAATCTGGAATCTGTTGGTTTTGTAGGATATCAGTGACCACTCCGTCTGTGAGCACTAATGCTCTTGGTTATGGAGCTTTTCTTGGCCTCTATGCAAATTTACGATATCAAATGCTGTGTGGTTTTGACAGAGCAGTTACCAGCTACTTTGATGTTATTGGAGTAGCTCTTTTCTTTAGCACAGCCCTGAGGTATGTTTTCTCGGTATTTGATCTGTGTAGGCTGCATTTGGGATTTTTCACGTTCCATGATGAAGCATTTTGTCATTTAAACCGTTCACCGGTGATTTTATTTAGTTGGTTTATCTGTTCTTTTCTCATGGCATGTTTGATTTAAATGGTGAAGATCAAATATATTGGGTATGCTTTTGATATTTTCCCATGTCCCTGTCCCTCGGCAAGAGAAATTTGGAGACATTGATACCAAACCAGTAATTTTAGAATCTACCCGTCTTTCCTTTTGCATTTCAATTCTGATGCTTTTGCACTTATAAGGTCAGCTGCAGCTCATATGGTAGAAACTTTGTGTCAAATGCATGCAGGGTATTGAATGTTCAACTAGGAGAGACATCAAGGTTGGCTTGGCTTGGGGTGGAGGTTGATCCATTTGCTCATTCGGACGATCTCTTGAAGAAGGCTTACAATAGACCAGCTGAAGGAGTCAATCAGTCTTCTTCAAAGTGGTTCATATCCAAGAACACTATTGTTTCTGGGCTCGGTCTCCTTGGACTTAAACAAGGACAAAATGACACTATCACGGATGGTGAAGTCCCTTCCCCCAAGGCTCGGAGAAAGAGAATTGTGAGGAAAAAGGTGGCAACAAGTTGAGTCAGGTTATATTTTATTCAATTGAAATCAACTCTTCAATTTTGTAGCAATATAGCTCCAGCACAGACGCCTTCAAGTAGAAGACCATCGTGACGTATTATTTGATGACACATTTATGGAAGTCTTGTCACGGGATCACAGGACCAAGCACCGTGTATGACTAATGATACTTGCAAATTCATTTGTTACCGCATTGCTTCCCAAATTAGGTACCAGATGATTGTAACAAAAATAAATTTTTGGAATACGATTGAACTTTCTTATTTTTCACCCTTAATGTAAAACAATTCCTTTGTGATTTTCTGCTTTATTGTGTTGAAGTTTCTTTCCATTTTGCGACCTTAGAAACTTCTATGGAAAATGGCTTTCGCTTGTTCCTCTTAATTGTGTTTTAAAGAAACATGGGTCTTGATTGATTTTGCAGGAATTTATATTTGGATCTATTTTTAGCAACATTTTTCTTTCTAGATTATGTTTTATTCATTCCTCAGAGTTGACACCAGAAATATTTCCCAGTTAATTTTGCTTCTTCCTCAGAATTACAAGTAGCTGCATGAATCAAAGTTGGCTAACACACTTTTGGATTCAAATTCTTTAAGGGAAAAATTCATTTGTAAGAGTTTATCTATAGCCCACTTCAAAACTAAGAGGAGAAGGTTTACAATTTCAATTTTCAGATACTATTAAAATTTAGGAAAAATTGCGGTCGAGGTACCAAACCTTTAGTTTGTGCCACCCACGATACCAAACATTTCAAAAATTCGCAGTGGAAGTCCAAATGGATGGAAGCTAATAATTTGACCTTAGTTGACCAAAGATTTAACATTGACCATTATTTTGACTAATTTTAAAAGGATAAAATGGTAACTTTACATTTTTCAACAAAAAAAATAAAATAATTACAATATATTAATAATTAAATCAAAACACAAAAATACTATTCATCTTCTTCTCCATTCACCCCCTACCCACCCAAGAATGATGGTTGATTGGCATGCTTTTTCTTCCCCTTTGTGAATTTCATGCTTTTCTTCCTCTCTTCTCGTTGTAGCTTTATTAACTAATTTAAAATCACACAACACCCCCCGCCCCCACACACCCCAAAAAAAAAAAAAAATTTCTTTTATTCCTTTTTACAAGTTTTTATTTTCGATCTACTCGTTTGTTTTTGTTCCTACGAATCCTTTTTATTTTTGCTGAGGTTAAGAAAGGTGAAATGGATTCACAGCCAAAAAATGTTGGAATTCTAGCCATGGAAATTTATTTCCCTCCCATTTGCATCCAGCAGGTAAAATCTTGTTTTACACATCGAAAACACTGATATAAATGTTTGAATGTACCCATGTATAGTCTCTCTTCTTGATTTTTTTTCTGTGTCTTGGGGCAAATTTTGTATTTAATATTTTGATTTATGAAAATTTGATCAACCTGTGTACGTAATCTTTCAAGATTTTGTGTATTCAATTCGTCTTGCTGCCCTTTTTTCTCTTAGGATAGTTTTCCCCCCTCTTTGTATGTTTGGCTATATATATATATACACATAATTCACTTCCAATGGTTTTGGGAAGTGGATGGGTGGATGGCCGATATTGGTGGGATTTGGTTTTGTGGAGTGGGTGAGTAGGGGGTGAATGGAGAAGAAGATGAATAGCGTTTTTGTGTTTTGATTTAATTATTAGTTTTTTTTAAAAAATGTAAAGTTACCATTTTATCATTTTAAAATTAGTCAAAATAATGGTCAATGTTAAATCTTTGGTCAACTAACAGTCAAATTAACAGTTTCCATTCATTTGGACTTTCACTGTGAGTTTTTGAAATTTTTGGTATTGTGGGTGGCATAAACTAAAGGTTTGGACAAAGTCTGTTAATAAACGAAATGTTTGGTACCTCGACTGCAATTTTCCCTAAAATTTATTTATGAAATATTTGATTAAAAAATATTTTATTAATTAAACATATTAAGGTCACAAATCTATATAATTTAGTTACAAATTATCAAATTAATTAGTCACAAATTATTTATAAGTCACAAATCCAAAATTCTAAAGGTCCCAAATTATTTGTCGATCACAAATCGAAAATTTTGTAGGTCACAATTCATTGATCGGTCACAAAATCAAAATTTTTTTTGATAACAATTCATTTATCGGTCACAAATCAAAAATTTCATAAATTACAATTCATTGATTGATCACAAATTAAAATTTTTATTGGTCACAACTCATTTGTCAATCACAAATAAAAAATTTCACAGGTCACAATTCATTAATCGATCACGAAATCAAAATTCTTATTGGTCACAACTAATTTATTAGTCATAAATTAACAAAATAATGGGTCACAATTACTGTTACAGTTACAACTTAATAAATTATGAGTCACAATTATATTTTTTAGGTCACATATTATTTATTGGACACAAATTAACTCTCACGTCCCATCTTATCTACCCCAACAAGCATTCGCGACCACCGTCATCTAAGCAAACTGCAAAAGCACCTCTACAGCAACCACCATACACCACCAGAGCCACCACCACCAACTCTCGACTGAATACCACCGCTTCAAACAAATTAATACATCATAGAAAAACACAACCACAATCATCGCACCAGACCCACCACCACCGCGATAAACCCCACTACAATGCAAATCAACAGTCCTAAATCACCAGCCAATACCCATAACCCACTAACCAGGAAATCTCAACTCCAAACCATAAAATAAATCGGCGCCGTCCACCTACCACACCCTACCAGTACACCTATTACCTACCCAATCGCGCCGTCCCCCACCACGTGTCAGATTCACAATCCTTATCACCATCGTCCGCACAGCCAACGATTTCCATCCACTGTAGGTCACAGTTATTTACTACCGTACACAAACATCAGTTACAGAGCAGTAGATCTCATCGGTGAGCAGCGCCTGCACTTCTGTGAGCAACGCTTACAATGCTACTCAGATCAGTCGATGTGATTGATGGCTCCGATGCTCACAGCGACGGTCAGATCCAGGATGATTGTAGTAGTCGCGACGAGGCGACTGGCGCTCAGATGACGCTATGATAATTTCGTCGCTCTGTTGCCGGTGTTGGTAAAGATGAACAGAGTACAGCGAGAGAGAAAGGGGAGAGAAGAAACAGAGATCGGTGCCTGTGAAATAATTACAATTTAGAGAGAGTGAGTGGAGAGAAGAAAAGGAGGAAGAAATTGATTTAGGGATTGGACAGTAATTAATTGATTTTATGTATTAGGGGGTGTTTGATAATCATTTTCATGTAAAAATGCATTTTAGAATAGTAATTTGATGGAAAGCGTGTGGTTGAAAAATAAGGAAAAATTTTTGATTTACGTGTAATATTATTTTAATAAAAAGTGTATGGTTGAAAAGAAAAGAGAGAAAAATGTATTTTGAAAAACATAAGTATGAAACGGGAGCTTAATTAATAAAAGATCTGACATTTGAAATAGTAAAATTGATACGAATCTGATTTATGAAATGAGATCATTAAAGCTCTTACTTTTTGTAATTTCCTCATTCTTTAAAGATACTGGAATTAGTACACCGTTGACCTTTTCTTTTAGTATAAACAACCTTTCAATTAAATAACAAAATTCATTCACACTGATCGTTAAATAATAAACGTCATCTAGTTTAAATAAAACAAATTTGCATATGAAGCCCCCATAAATTTTCAAAAGTACAAATACAGTGCATTCAATATATATATATATATATATATATAATTTGATAATGTTCCATAATTATATCATTTTAGATACTGTCAAATACATAATTCTCAAACACAATTTACAAATCAATTATCCGTCACAAAATTTACAATTTACAAATCACATATTCGAAAATCACAAATTGACAAAAAATAGAAATTCACATATTAAAGATATCACAAAAATATAAATGGCTATTGCAAATTAGAACATTAAACATGCTAACCTTGTTGCCTTAACAACCTGAAAACGCCAAATAGGATAAGAATAGGATAACCTTGATTTGTAATTTTGTATGTTGTTCACCTGCACCCAAATAAATAAATTTGTATATTTTATTTTTTATTTAATTACAAAATAGAAAAAGAATGTGCAAATTCTCCGAAGTTTTCTCTGTAGCATTATAATTTTGAGATTTTCATATTGATTGTAAAGAGATTAAGGTAAACTAATTAAAAGTTTAGTTTATACTACTCATTTAGAAATAGGCAATTTTTTAACTTTGGAAGCATGCATTTCCGGAGGAACGAGCAATACTTTAACCATTGCAACCTATTAACCAAAGTATCCATTCAAACAATTGGCAACCTGAACTTGTCACCTGTACGCGTAGAGCTGCAATTTAATTCAACAGCACCAATGGCTGTTGGCTGTTGCAACTGGTCTGTTCTCCTTCTCCAAGTGTACCACAGGCCTATAGCACCAGAATATTCCGTTCTTGCCTAGCGTCGCTCGGGACTAGACCCTTGCTGTTTTTCCGTTTGCTATCGCTGAATCGTCGACGGAATTCAGTCGGGCAGAAATGGTGAGCAAGGACAGTCCCGAATTGCTAGGTTTTGCTTCAAAGTTTCGAATTAGAGACCGTCGAGCTAGGAGTCTTCTCTTCTCTCGTGTGGGACAATTTCTTGCATTCTTCCCTTGAGCCCCATTCTTGCAAAAAAAAAAAAGTATTTTTGAATAGTGTATTGATGGAAAATGTGTAGTTAAAAAACAAAGAAAAATTTTAAATTTGTGTATAATATTATTTTAATGAAGAATATGTGATTGAAATGTGTCAAATCATTCTTGAAAATTTTATTTTGATAAAAATAATGTGACTCAAATAAGGGCCATATTTCAGTTTGGTGATGCCAATGAAAGAGGGCTTCAATTGGAATTTGGACGGTTTGAATTAGAATTTGAAAGGACTCTTTGAATACATTATTTTCAACTTTATTTAAGAAAAAAAAAAAAAAAAAAAGCCCTTTTTTGGTTGGCGGGACATGTGACCTCCTAGGACTCATTGTGGGTCCGCCAATGTATGTGGTACAAAATTTATTCTCTTTATTTGTCGTTCAACGGATGCTTTATTTTTATTTTATTTTTTCTACTTGTCTATTTTCATTTTTAGGAAAAAAATGATTGAAATACCAAATTTATTTGCATTTTTAATTTTTTATATGATTCAGTTTTCAAGTAAAAATATTTTCCAGTGAAATGGTTAAGGAAAGAATCTCCATGCCCTCCTGACGGTGTGGGGTGCTTCCGTCGTTCGGATGATCAATTGTTATCTGAAAAAGAGAGGTCGGGGCTTTCACCCCCGTTGTACCTCTGGCGTGAGAATTAGTATCGAATTATGGAGAATTAGGAAAGGAATAAGGAGATATTCAAATAACTAAAGTTTTTCCAAGATCTTTACATGTTTCGCCTTTTGGAGTATTTATAGGCGATTGGAGTCATGTGAAGGTCGGGCAGCTATGGTGCCATGTATCCCACGTAACATCTTCCACTACCCTCACGTTCTTAGTGGGTAACCTCCGCCCGTTCAACTGCCAGTCGTGTTTGTAACAACCGTCGCGTGATCTCTACCCAAATTGTGATTTTTGGCTAAGTGTTGTATTGGCTGCGTAGTGGTTATGAGCCCCATGGCGGTCCACATCCCGGCATAGGTATAGCGCGCCCAGGGGTTCAACGTCTGGCATGGGCGCAGAGCGCCTAGGAGGTCGATGTCCTGGCATGGGTGCGAAGTGCCCATGAGGGTTGACGCCCGGCGTGGGTGTAAAGCACCCATGGGGGTCGACGCCCGGCATGGGTGTTGTATGCCCACGGGTGGTGTGGGGTGGCGGCAGAACTCATGTCTTGTTAGTTGTTGTTGATAATTAACGATGTCCAATATCATTAGCCCCTCTATCCCTTGTCGATATTTATCGGTAAAGGTTAGCATCTATTTTCCCTTCCCATACCTTCGACAAATTTATTTTTTTTAATATTTAATATTCGACCATAGTTGGCTCAATATGAATGGGTCGAGCGGTCTAGGTGGCGTTGGGTAGCGACAACCTTAAACATGGCATTTTTCAAGTGGGCTTGGTACTTTTGGGGGGAAACTTCCCTCCAAAATTTTTAAAATATTTGGTTATATAAGAGGAGGAACCTCCCTCATTCTCACTTCTCCCCTCATAAATTCTTTGTCTCCAATAGTAAGGTACTCCTCTCATCCTTTCTTTTTATTCCAAGTTTTTTTTTCTTTCTTCTTGTTATGTACAAAACCATTATAACTTCCTCTTCCGATGAAAGCGAAAACGAGGGGGTGAATGTGTCGTCCGACCCATTGTGTGTTGGGTCAGGCGACGCGTTGCCGATTGGCGCTGGTCAGCAAGGCTAGTCAAAGGTACCGACCTCTCGGCCTCACGCTGGTCGACCGGCGACCAGCCTCGTCAAGGGTCCCCCCATAGTCGGTCGATCTCCCCACGATTCCAATAGTCCCGACCCATTCGCCCGAAATTGTAGCATTCCAAACGTCATCCCCAAGAAGACACATTGGTTCAACGAAGCTTTCGAACTTGAATTTTGAAATTGGGCGAGACCCGACGGGGTAGATTGTTGTCCTTGAAATTCCAAAGTGTTATAGTCTTTACGACTCTCCACTTAAGTTAGAGAAGTGCCTTAACAGGTTCGATCGAATAGACGATTATATTTATAGAGCCCCTAGGCCTAAGGAGATGCTTCCCGGGTTTGACCCCCATGAGATAGTCGTGTATAAAGTCACCATGAATGGGGGTTGTCAATTCCCCATTCATCCTTTCTTCGTCTCAATTTTTAATGAGTTCCACCTCACCCCTAATCAGATAAACCCCAATGCATAGAGAAAAACGCTGTACTTTTTGTATGTCTGTCTCAGTAAGAAAATTTTACTCTTTATAGACATTTTCAGGTGCATTTATTTATTGACTCAGCAATATATTTTATTATTATCAATTTTTCGAGTAAATACTAAAATTTGTCAAGAATTGTTGTTATAAAAGAATTTTATTTCCTGATTTTGATTGAAATGCAATCTGAATCAATGTTATGACCATTTCTGGAAGATTTAAGATAATCCAGCATTAAAAATTTAGAGTAGCTTACTTTATTCAGATAATCTTTTATCCCGTATTTTCGTATTTTGAATTGAAGCTGCATACTTTGAGCATTTATCTTGACATTCTGAAGGACCGGTTAAGGTATTGCACTTGCAGCATATGAGATACCCCAGACAAAAGATCAAAACTTTCAACCTTTGATTAACCGATTAAAAGCCTTGTTGGTTTTGGCTTATAATTGCTTTGCTGATATTTCCATGCTTATATATTGAAAATGCTCGCCATTGTATATCACTGGTATCTTTTGGTGATTGGAAACAGTTCTTTTGAATGCCATATGAGGCTGCAGAATTTCTTCAGGGGTTTTTCTGTTTGTAATGTGAGAGATAATTATATATATGTTGTAGTTCTGAATGTAGATGACATGAAACTCATCTTTCTCCAGTATTCTTCTCCTACATCTATAATTTTAGTATAGGGTCTTCCAGTACTACTAAGCATTTTCTGATGCAGAAATAATAGCTAGTTCTTTGACTTCAGTATATGTTTCTGATACAGGAGACAACACCATTAGCCGGTTCATCTGCAGGTGCTATTGTCTGTGCTGTGATTGCATCTGGAGCCAGTATGCAGGAAGCCTTAGAAGCTACCAAAGTGCTGGCTGAAAATTGTCGACTTCGAGGAACTGCATTTCGCCTCGGGGTATGTGCACGTGCTACGTTTAATGAGTGTGAGGTTAATTAGATAAAAACAGGACAACAGTATTATTAAACTTCATCAGTATAGCTAAAGATGAACTTTGAAGAAAAAAGGGATCAGCCTTCAGTATGAATTAAACAAATGGTTTTGATAGCTAATAAATAAGTGACCATTGGTGGCAAGGCTTATGAATCTCCTTTTTCCCTTTCTGCTGTTGTGCTTCATTTTGTTTTTGTTTAAAATGCCAGTATTAATAAGTTTAATGGGTGAGCTGAACTAGTATATCTTATCATTTCACCTCGGGTGGATTGCAGAGTGCAGTGGTTATAAAACTGGAATTGAATAAGAATAGAACAAGTAATCCTTTGGTTCAAGTATGGAGGGATTAAAATAGCATACGAGGACTAAGAAAAAATTGCACAATATCTTATTTTATCTCACTGTAAAATCCAGGTATTTAATATGGAAAATGTTTCAATTCACAGGCTGTTCTTAGGGATATTCTGGAGAAATTTCTGCCTGGTGATGTTCATATCCGATCTAGTGGAAGGGTTCGTGGTGAGTATTGTTATTTCCCTCCAGCACAAGCACACACCACTGTTCACAGTCGCAATCTACAATGTATAATGGCCATCGAAGTGTAGTTAATTTGGAGAAAAAATCGTGACCTCCTAAAAAGTGCTGCCCTAGTCCTTCTGAGACACAGCTCAAACAACTTCGTTTTACTAATCTCATGAGCACCTGCTCATGTAATTTGGGCACTAATTTTGATGTATGAAAATGCTTTTCAGCGGCATCTAGAGATGAGGTTTTGATAATTTGTTATGCGATTTCATCTCAGTTGCTGTAACACAGATTCTGTGGAGGCCAAGGGGCTTATTGGTTGATGAGTTTGATTCTAAAGAAGATCTCATTAATGCAGTCTTTACTTCCTCATTTATTCCAGGGTACGCGTTTTCTATTGCTGCATTAGCTACTAGGCTAGATTTGGACGTTGAACTAAAAGTTTAGTTTATTACAGATATCTTGCACCGAGGCCAGCAACAATGTTCCGTAATCGACTTTGTATAGATGGGGGTTTGACCTTGTTCATGCCTCCAACTTCGGCTGCACAGACGGTATTCTCTATTTTTATTGAAACGGTAACGAATGTGTCGTATAGCTTCTTTTCTGATTATAAGAAGTTGAATGTGTGGAGTCCAGTTGTGTTGGAAATTTTGAGTTTTATATTTAAATTTGGTTGTGACTCAGTTATAATCTTGGTTGGCTTTATTTGTTGATGATATATCGATCAGAACTATGGGTGTGTTTTTTCTTTCGTTCTTGAAATACCATCTGTATATTCTTGTGGCAATTAAGTGAATCTTGACTGTTGAAATGTTACAGGTACGTGTTTGTGCTTTTCCTGCCAGTCGTTTGGGATTGCAAGGGATTGGAATTAGTCCCGACTGCAACCCAGAAAACCGGGCAAGTCCCAGGGAGGTAATTTTCGGCCTCACTTGAGATGATTTCCTAGTTCCATTTTCCTGATAAAATCCTGATGTTCTTATGCTCAATTTCCTAGCTCTTTAATTGGGCTCTTGAACCAGCAGAAGATGATATTCTCGATAAGCTCTTTGAGCTTGGATATTTAGATGCATCCATCTGGGCAGAAGATAATCCAGTCGGGAAAATAGTTCAAGACGACGGTCCTTGTGCAGATAATGGTGTTGCACAATAGCTCATAGCACGCTGCTCTGGAACTCGTAGAAAAACATTAGTCTGCTGGACTTGCACAGTCAGTCACACAAAAAATTTTACAGTAATTTTATTTTTTGTAAAATACGGTGGTGGCAAAATGAAAAGGCCATAAAGTAGGGCAGGAATTGATTCGGAAAGGTGGAATACTTGGGATGAGGGGGGCTGGGGTTACTCATGGTCTTGGTCACTGGTTTTCTGTTCTCTATTAGGACTTTAAGGATATGTAAAGAATGATATTAGCTCTTATCAATGGAATTATGTTGAGAAAAGCTCGTGTAAAATTTTTTCACTTCAACTGTTGTTTCATTATTTTCTGAATGCAAATTTCCTGTGCATTGTTCCTGAAGATATTCAGAGAGTAAATATAATTTAGATGTACATATGAAAGTTGCAGATTTCTTGTAAGTGATCAAGATTTGAGATTAACTTATTGATTTTGAAGGGGACAAATTTGATGTTTGAGTGCTACATTTGTTTGTTGATTTGGCATAGGGGGTGGAAGAGGACATGAATAATGCCGTTCCGTTATTATCCCACATCGGTTAGAGAGAAGAAAAGCCTTTAAGAAATTGGTTATAAAAAGCCTGGGCTGAAACTTAATTAAGCATACCTTTCTCGGCCTTTTGGCTAAGATCAAGTGTAGTATCTGTTCTTATCAGTTTAATATCTGATATGTGGGTCATTGACCCACACGATATTAAATTAATTTTTTGAGGGGGAAGACCCGTTATGGTAGCTTGCTGCCTGGGCCTTCGAGCGTCGCCCAAGCGTTGCACTGCTGCATGGGCCTGGCGCACCCCACCAATTCAAGTTTCAAATGTTATTTATCGGGTTTTTGGGTGATCTCGTTAAAAGGAGAGCCATTGTTAATGAATATGATAGTTACTATTGAGGAAGGTGGGGCTATGGACAATGTTGTTGTAGTGGGTATCGTATTTGTTTTATGTGGCGATTAGTGTTTTTTATACGTGGTAGTTGCTTATTATTTTATATAATAAAAAATTTATTAATCGTCACGTGTCACGACTGCAAGCAAATAGGTTTGCAGTATGTCACCTAAGGTTACGTTACTGCAAATGGAATCGCAAATAGAACGAATTATTAATCGTCACATGTCACGATTGCAAGCAAATGCAGTATGTCACCTGAGGTTACGTTACTGCACATAGAACTGTAGACTAAATTTTTTCTGGTATATCTTGCAAAACTGTAAATATTTATGTGCTCTGATTAATTTCAATTTAGTTGCAAAACTGTAAATATTTTCCGTTCTTGGCCCAGTTTGGTATTTTTTGTTAATTTTGATAAAAGTTAATGAATGTACAATGAAAAGTCGTGCATCATATAAAATATGAGATTAAAAATTAAATGTTGATTGTGAATTTAATTTTTATCAATTTTTCGGCTGAGCTAATTTTGAATGTTATTCAATGCATTTTTCGTTTTCTTATTTTTATCACTTTGTAGTAGATTATTACTAATAAGAAAAAATAAAATTTATAAATTGCTAGCAAAGTTAATTTCATATGTTGCTTTAAATATTGAAACTAGTCCAATTCAACTCTAAAGGAAACTAGATCGTACTCAATCCTATTTAATTATTTGTAAATGAAATGGTTATTGTCAATCGTATTTGGGAATTATGTAAAATTTACAATAAATAAATTATAAAATTACATATTCATTTAAATATAGTTTATATAAATTTGTAAAAACAATTTATTTTAACAAGAAGCAATGTTTCTATATAGTACCTAATATCAAATAGGCTAAAATGAGTAAAAATAGAAAAAAAGGAGTTTTGTTGTAAAATTATAGGATTATGTTGAAGACACAAAGAACTCATCATCCATCTGAACAGAGAAAATTTGATTTAATAAAATCTCTAAATATAACATCCTACGGAGAAAGGTTCGAGGGATCATAGATCATCTATTTCCTTGACCAGATATTGTAAAATCATCCTTTACGTGTTATCTCTTCCTTAATTATCCGTACAGCTTCTGAAACTCCGTCCTGGAAAAGTTCAATTGGCAAACACACACAAGAAGTCAGCTCTTGAGAGAAATAGTACGACTCCATGAAAAGTTTCGTTAACGCCTAATTTGTGTCGAGTAGACCTTGTTGTCAGAATTCTTAATTCATGAGTTGTAGGGAGGGATTTATATCAAATGCCAACTGCACATCTTCCCCACGTTGAAGAAAGAATATTAGCAAAAACAAAAATACCTCATCGGAAATTCTTTTAGCGAGCTCTGAAGCACGCAATTTCACTTTAGAAGACAATGCAGAGTTTAAGACCCTCGCTAGCATATTTGCAGCTTCTTTGATGTAGCAGTCATCATCTCTATCTGGGAGCAACTGGTTACTGTTTAGTGGCTCTGGTGCAACGCCGAGCCAAAACATTCTCTCTGCCCAATAAAACTGGTCCAGCATAAATGGACAGATAACCTGCCATCAAAGAACAGGTAGTTTCTGTGTCCACTGAGTGCTTAGAGAAGCAGAAGCCATTGATATATGGACTTAAAATAAATTTGATTCTGCAACATAAATGATCTTTTAGCAAGTGGCTCGGGTGGCATTGTTCAAGAAGCACATTGGCCATTATAAATGTGGAAGATAATATTATTGGTTTAAAACTCCATGGAATTAATACATAGTTTGAGTTAAATAAGAATCAAGCTCATATGGTTTTTTAGATTTAGTTAAGGTATTCACAACTACCTTATTAGAACTGTTTGACAATGCCCCAGCAGTGGCGATCCATTTCCCATTATTCAGAAAAATAAATTCAGCAATAACAGAGACGCATGTCAAGTTTATATTTCTCAAAATAACTGAATATAAATGTACTCCTGGAGCAATGCAGCATAGATTTCTTTCTCAAGTGACAGCCGTTGAAAAATCTTTCTTTGCCTAGCATTGCATTCAGTATCTGTCAAAGATTCTTCAGGATTTAGATTTTGCAGCTGTTGCTTATGAAAGAAACTTCAGAAGTCTACGGATAGTTAAGAGACCAGTATGTACTTGTTTTCTCTTTTAAAATAACTGTTCTTCAATTACTTATTCTCCTACAGACTGATTTAGAAGTAGTCCATTCACACAACTTTGAGCAACTACTGTCAGGGATTGCTGCCAGACACAACGAGCAAGCTAAGCATAGAAACACATCTCAGTTGCGAATCAAACCTGAGGAATTCCTGCTTGCAGAGCAGCAGCAGTGGACCCACTGGTGCAGAGATAGCAACAAGGGAGTATGTATAATGTTTCAGCAGAATCACAACAATTAAAAAGGGCGGCAAACGTAACCTAAGACACCTTACCTTCCCCCATGATGGATAGCAGCAGCACATCTTGGAAACAGCCAGTTGTATGGTATATTACTAACCCCAAAAAGAAAAAGAGAACAATTCATCAGTCTCTCGAACTGTTTCATGTGTCTAGAATACATTACCGGGAAAATGATGTTTCCATAAACAAGAGTTAAATGTTGATAAAAAAATAATTCATATAAAAAGAATAAAGAGAAGAATTTGATATGTTTTAAATTTAAATTACTTTTGTTTCTCATCAGTAATCAAAGGTTTGTTACGGAGTTTTCTTGAAAGCAATCTAGGTATGTTCGTGTGACACGCAAGATAATCTAGTCTTTATAACTAACCACAATTCTTATTCAGAGAGTTTATTTGAGCATCTGAAAGTTTACAATCTATGATAAATTAATGTTACGGATGAGTAATGTACTTATTCCTCAAAAGAGTCAAAATTAAAGAGGTTGATATAATTGCTCTTGAAAATGCCAAAGATTCCCAAAGCAGCAGAATAATTTTACCTAGTTTTCCGTTTCTATTGAAATACACAAATGAACACATAACTGCCAAGTGTTATTAAACACATTTCAGGTACTTGAGTATGCTTCAGACAATCGATGTCATGTGCAGTTTGTCAGATGGCAGTCGAGTATGCATTCGACTAACTGTTGCGGAGCAGGTGAAGAATCAACTCTCCAATGCATTTACTATTTATTCAACATACATTTTGTACCAAAAGAGTTGTTTTTAGTATCTTCTATTTTTGTGGTATCACTTTATGTAATTCTCTATTAAGTTTATTATTTATTTATATGCAATCCAAAGACATTCACTTCTCCTATATTGAATTCTCAACTATTGGTGCTCTCCATCCTACTCTCTCATATTTACTCCATATATTGGTCTTTTAAGTGTAAAACCATAAATTTGTACAAGTACTCACCCAGAAAAGCAAAGGAGCCGGCCATCAAATAGGAGGGTTTCATCTTTACTAGATTGCACTTGTTCTGAAGCTGACGGTGCTTTTCCAGCAAACATTTTGATGGTGACATCTAAAGGTTCATAACCAGCTGAAAACAAAATAAATCTGCAACTTGTAATAGCCAACAAATCTCCAAGGATCCGAAGAAATGTTTTAGGGTTCCTTAGAAACCCCATACTGCAGATAAGACATCATTTTTGTTATTAAAAAAAATAATAATAAATTAAGATTTCTAAATTTTCAAAACTACCTTATCCACGATCAAAATTCACTATACAATATTAAGAACTGTGAACTACATATGTGCATACATGTTAGATGCTCGATGACTTAACTATTTTCCATTGTATGCATTCGACAATGAGAAATGATTCAATCACATCCAATATAACAGTACAAGACCATCCAGAAGTCGCATCAGGAACTGGTGTAGGAAAAACAATTTAGAATTAGCAGTTGGGTTACATGATCACGCTGGTCAAATTCAGGGCAACATCAAGGAAATGCCCTAATTCAAAGCTCTATCAGTCAGAATAACACTTGCTTGATGATGCATCACTCTCCAATTAATACGAAATTTGAGCAAGGATATTCATATGAATGGCATCCCATGGTGGGAAGTGACATTGTTACTACGAATTTCATGTAAACCTGTAAACATGTTGTACTACGAATTTGAACATAATCATATAAAAATGTAAAGAGTTTATGGAATGTACTGGTTCAGATATTTATACTGCTAAATCTAGAAGATCCTAAACTAAAGTCCATCCCCAAAATTCAGCATCTCATGATTATGAGCATTTTACAAAAAATCAATGCACAATTTAAAAGTAGATGTTATACTTTACCCAAGAAAAAAATACAGCTACAGATCTAGAATAAGTTTACATCATAACAAAATAAACCCTCGTATTACAGCCAATGAACATGCAAGAAAATCATTCATATCGCATAATTTACTGCACCTTTCAAGAGTCCAACTACAATCGAGTCAACAAA